TTTCAGGATGTTTTAGTGTTGGGGTTTTTGTGTGTTTTGAGATATTCGTTGGTGGTCCTGTTCAGAAATCTGCTTGCAGTTTAACTGATGGCCTCGCATCAGACTACTTGATATGATGGGGTTTTCAGCTCAGTCAGCAGAGTCAGTGTGACAACAAAGGATCCGCCAAAAACAACACGTTCACTTCATTTTCATTTGTTTGCTTCTCAGTGAGTATGTGTCGAAGCTCGTCTCCACCACTGACAAAAGCATTTATTGACAGGCAGATTTCACGTTAGATATCGCAAAATTCTGACAGACTAACTCAAACTTCTGTGTAAGGCAAACTTTTGAGATAATAATCCCAAACTTTGGGGTGATTTTTCAGTGTTGCTTCTCCTGAGAAGCAGTCTTACAATCCTGCTGTTCACAGCTAAACATGTGTTGCATGTTCACTGGCAGACTAGTTTAACTCTATTTTACTAACACACCTTTTTTGCAGTCTAACAGTTGAAAGAGTTAACTGCAGATACTGTGATCGATTGCAGATAATTTGGCTTACAGTGGAATGACTTCTTAATTTACTTCATTCTTTGGCCTGAAAGCCTTTGTTAGTTATTTAGATGTCACACCCCAAACAGGTTCTGATTGTTGGCACCGCATCTGAAGCTGCTTATTTAAATTTTATGCACTTGAAGAAGTGAGATAAATGTAGAGAAGTCTCTGCATTTTCAATATGATTGATCTGCTATTATAAAAATGAGTACAAAATAACTGCTTTGCCATTTGTAGATCAAATGAGTGGTTACTCTACAGACAAAAAAATCCAGCTACAGGGTTTTGTATGCCCTGTGTGAGATGACCTGGTGAATTTATTCCCGTGCTTTTCAGGTCTCATTAGGCTTTATTCTTCTATGTTCAATCAGAGGAATGAACCAGCTTATTACTCGAAACTCTTAACAGATTTTCAGACACATCAGGGAACGGATATCACAAAAAGGAGCTGTATTGGTTCAGCTTGAACTTTTGTGCAGTCACACATTTTGTAATCAGAATTGTATAACCCATCGTTAATGGGCTGCAAACTTGTGACACTATAATTATCCAAAGTTAGCCCGGAGGACCACGTCATCTGAGTAAAAATAAATACTTTAGTCTTTAAAAATAAAACAAGCGGAATTACCAAACTGAAACACTGCAGCTGTACGTCTGTAGCAGATGTGAGGCAGGTCTTCATCTGCAGAAGTGACTGAAAGTAGTTCCAGCAGACTAGAGTTTAAATAACAAGGCTGATGATGTCCTGAGGAACTCATTCCCAAAATTCATCTGTTTCTTGGAGGGGGGGTGGTTGCTGAAGCAAATCTCATATGGTACCAAATTAGCCTTTATAATTACAATAACTACCTCAAGTAGTATATTATTTAGTTAACATTACACAAGCAGGAGTAAACTGTATATATGCTGGATGGGTTAATACCGTAGACTTTAGATTCTTCCTTATAGCAATAAGAATGAATAGTTTTTATGGGGGGAGTGCTACACTACAGTCCCCATCTTTATCAGGTGACCCAGGAAAGCGGTGTGGCTCAGTGAAATGCTTTTAAGAGGAAGAATCTATTTTAAGAGGAAAAATAATTACATCAGAGTCATAATTGTTGGTTTTTGGACCTTTAATGCAGTTGAAAATATTATAATCATGGCAATCGTGGCTCAAGAGTTGGGAGTTCGCCTTGTAATCGGAAGGTTGCCGGTTCGAGCCCCGGCTTGGACAGTCTCGGTCATTGTGTCCTTGGGCAAGACACGTCACCCGTTGCCTACTGGTGGTGGTCAGAGGGCCAGTGTCTGGCAGCCTCGCCTCTGTCAGTGCGCCCCAGGGTGGCTGTGGCTACAATGTAGTTTGCCATCACCAGTGTGTGTGTGAATGGGTGAATGACTGGATGTATAAAGCGCTTTGGGGTCCTTAGGGACTAGTAAAGCGCTATGTAAATACAGGCCATTTACCATAATAAAATATATAGAATACCACCAGAGTTGTGTGACTGTGATATAGCAGGTAAATTACTGATAAAAGGACATGAGTTTATATGGTTTGGACAGCCCGTTCTCACTCCCGAGGCGTAACATGCTGACGTTTTGTCACCTCCCGCGGTGTTCCTGAGGAACGCGAAAGGTGACCTTCCGCGTTCTTATGGTACGCGCCGGGTTATGGAATCCAGTGGAATAATAGACGTTCCAGCCCTATGCCTAACCATAACCTTATTCCTGACCTTAACCAGGACTTTAATGACGTTAAATAGCGTGTTTCCAAGCGATTTGAAGAAAAAGAGTGAACATGTGTAGATTGAGTCCAGACGGTTCGCATATTTCCACATTTTTCCGAGGTCGTCATTTAGGAACGTGTTGGGTAGCCGAAAACGTAATATGTTGACGATTTGTCACCTAGCGTAAAATGTTACACTTTGGGAGTGAGAACGGTTTAGACTTGAATATTTCTGAACCTGACCAATAAGCTTTACACAATTCAGGTATATTTCACCACTTGTGCTTTCTGTGCTGTTGAAAGGCACAACATATGTAGTTTTTAGAACTTTCATGACCCTTTTCTAACCACATGAGCTTTTCCTGTGTAATAAGAGGACTCTTCAATCTTTGTAAACATGCATTATGATTTTTTTTAGTGGTTTAAAATCAACTAGCCTCATTTCTGTCAAATCAGAAACATATGGTGTAGTTTTTATGGTATGTAGTGAACTGTAAATGTTCAGACTTGAAAAGATGACACACAGCTACTGCAGCTAATTAGCCGTCACAGTTCAGGTTATTTTTTTTAAGCACACACATTTATCTTTATATATCTCGTGGGTCCTTCTGGCTGCTCTTCTATTTTCCCAGAGGATTTGCCAAAGTAGATGATCCACGTGTTTGATTTGGCACCGACTTTTACATCCAATGCCCTTTCCGACACAACCATCCCATTTATCCAGGCTTGAGATCGTCGCTAGAAGTACACAAGTTTGTGACACCCTGAGGCCGAGTTTGTGTTTCCTCTTTGTCTTAAACTGTTTATCTAATATGTGTGAGTCTAAATGGGGCATTTATGGGACATTTTAAACTGCTACGGAAACTGTTGAGAAATAAATCTGTGTCCTCTTTTGTTATCTAAAGTCTTGGTCAGGCCTGCCTTTCTAAAGCTAAAGACCTATCATGGAGAACCACTGAAACACTCAGGGGGACATTTGCAGTATGTGGGCGGGAATCTGGTATGTGCTGTGCAAATTACTTATGTTATGCAATTAGCTTCTCAAACCAGTTTCAGCTGGTTTCATATGACAAAACATGTTCTGCTGGAGTTGAACCAGTCACTTAATAAAAGAAAATAAGTTTGAGGTTAGGCAGTTTAAACGTGTTTAAACGTGTCAGTATTTGCTAAGAAACTGATTTTTATCATTTCAAGGACCATTAAAAAACATGTTACAGTCCAGTTTGGGGTCATTCATCTGTTTGATGGCGATTTTGTCACAATTGATATACCAAATAATTTACCGATGATCAAACTGGGAATTTTTTTGTTTATATAATTTAAATGGTAAATAAGTCAAGGTTAAGTTAAGAATGTTTGTTTATCTGGTTATCATGAAAGCAAATGGAAAGTTGTAAAAGGAAATGAACAGTGACCGAACAGTGATGGAGCGCAGAAATACTCCTGAAAGCCCTTTCATGAAGATGGCATGGGGGGGTGGATCGAGGAAGTACAGCACAGTAGGGCACTTAAGGGTTCCGTTTGTGATGGATTTTGCCGTAATGTGGGGAAGATAACAGGTGTTTATTATATTTACCTTCTGGCCTGCACAAAGCCCCGGCTTGAATCCCTCTGAAAATCTGGGAAATTAAGTGAAATCTGGAGAGAGATTTGCCAGAGAAGGAACAGCTGGGATTGCTCAGAAGACGTGTGTGAAACTTGTTGAGAAATGCAGGCGGTGTCTAGTAAAACTGACATGACTCATTGTTAGCAAGACTTTGATGTTTGGAAAAGCTCTAAAATTCATCTGTTTGATAGCACTTGTAAAATACTTTAAAACAAGTCTTTACACTTTCGTCATGAATTGAATTTTAGCAGCAAGCATTTCCTCAAAAAAAACAATTACACTGTATTAATAAGACCGTGTGCCCTTTCTGAAGATTTTTGGTGGTCCGGGCTGATGGGTGGGTTCACGATGGGAAATATCAGCATCTTTCGTTTATGGAAACTAACATGTTGAGATCAAGTACACAAAAAACAATTATATGCATAGTTTTTTGGCAAAATGTCTTATTGAGTAGGTTACTAAGCGTATCTTGTTAATCTTCATACAAAACATGTACACACTTTGGAGAGAATGCTTTTAATACATTCATTTTCCCTACAGACAAATACTTTAGATTAGAAAAACTGATTTTAAATGAGGACTACCTACTTGGTCACTACATTAAAAACATTTTCAAATAAAAGAGACATATTCACAAAAAAGTAACACCTTAAAATAACCATCACTTGTGACCTGATAATTGTGTAATGTTTAATTAACTTACCATCAAACAACGTAATGGCTGTTATTTACAAGATTAATTTGGGTGATAAATAAAAGATTCATAAAATACTTCTGTTTAATCAACCCCGCTGGTGCGCGTTTGGTGCTTAAACTGAACCAAACTGCCAGCAAAGCAAAAACCGGGATGTTGGAGATGCTGAAAACAAAACCAAATTGCCAGTGAAGCAGGAAAATGTACGACCTCCATATTTACAGTCTACAGCGTTTACTCCATCGACATCTCACTTGCCTACTTACTCTGTAAAACAACTAGTATAAACATCATTTCAGACTTTACAATTGCCATCCAGATGACCGTTTACATACCTGTAAAGTCAAAACCTAAAAAAAACAAAAAAAAGTTAAATAACAAATAAACAATCAAATGAAGGGTAATAAAAAAGGGTAAAAAAAAAAAAAAAAGAATTAAGAATAAACCCAAAACTAAAAAAAAAAAAAAAAAAAAAAAAAGTTGAAATGAAAGCAGCTATTTTACACAGAACAGAGGCACCAAGAGCAATTACAGATGTCACATTATCTGCACTTGGCTTAAAGTACAGCATTTCAGAGGTGGGCTATGGAGCGGCCTCTGTGTTGAAGGGTGCGCTTATTTTCGCAAGCTTGGAATAGCAATAAGTCACACCTTTGGTCAATTTGAGTAGTTCAAGTCAGGGCAAAAGCCTACAACCCCACAAAAAGGGTGCAGTCAGAGAGAGGCCAGTCCCAACATCCACCTCGCACTCTTTTCCACCCATTACATCAGCGGCAGCTCAGATCTGCCTCACTGTTAAAAATCAGATACTCGAGGGCTCTCCTGGAGATTTCAGAGCCCTAGTGCAGGTTTTGAGGAAATTTACCACTATATAGAACTTCTATAAAAATCACAGATGTTTAAAATTGGAGGTTTTGTGCGCTGGCTGGACAATGGGACTGAGCCACAGAGAGTATCTAGGAGGAGGCTCTCTTCTCCTCATATGGAGACTCATACACCTCCATGGGTGGGCAGGTGCACATGAGGTTCTGGTCGCCATAGATGTCATCGATCCTGGAGATGCTCGGCCAGAATTTGGTCTCAGGTTTTATGAAGGGCTGCGAAGAAGGGAGAAAAGAGGGGTCAAAAAATTCAAACAACGCATTTATACAAAGTTCATTTCAAGTAGCCGGGGCTTTGCATTAAATGTAAAATGTGAACAGTCAATAAACCCCATTACCAATGTTGACTAAATCAGGGCATCTATAACTTAATTAAAACCAAAAATCTATTGCTAAGTAATCTGAAAAAGTTGTTGGCTACAGGACATGAGACAAATTACACGTCTTATTTTTCACCACTAGAGGGCGATAAATACAAGTTCTTTAAACAGTACAGCTGCTTTCACTGAGTTTGACTTTCCCAATATTGTTGCATGAAAAAAATGCATAAAGGAAACATAATTGAAGTTTTTTTTTTTTTAATTTAATAAAGGACAAAGATTTACAATATGCATACTAAGTCAGTTGTAGTCATTTTGCTAATTTTAAGAATGCAGGAATCAAAATCAAAGACAAAGAATTAAAACTTGATCTTTGGCTCTGCAAAAACTAAAGTTGGAGTGTGGGGCATCGAATAAGTCTAATGGGATAAAGGTACTCACCAAGGGGAAGGCGGCACACTCCCTGGAGTAGGGTCTGTCCCAGCTGGACGTTGAGATGCACGCCAAAGAGTGAGGGGCCATCTGCACGCAGGCACAAAGACATACACTTGCATGACGACTTCAGATATCACAGCTTTATATTAACCACTGTATGGTAGGTTTTCAGCACAGAAACCTTAAGTGGGTTGATGCGCGAGTCCATCCTTCCCTCCTCGATTTCTGCGATCTCCTGTCTGATGGCTAGCAGGGCGTCGCAGAAACGGTCCATCTCAGCCTTGTCTTCCGATTCTGTAGGCTCAATCATAAGAGTACCTGCCACTGGCCAAGACATAGTGGGTGCATGGAAACCTAGACACAAATAGTAGAGAAGAAAATGTATAATACTACTAAAATAATAAACAATAGGTATCAATATGCACCGGATAAAAATTATGAAAGGGAAATATATATATATATTGATCAGCCTACCATAATCCTGCAGCCTCTTGGCCACGTCAACAGCCTCAATATTAGCTGTCTTCTTGAATGGCCTCACGTCCAGAATGAACTCATGGGCTACAAAACCTGTGCACAAAAATGAGGGGAAAAAAAACCCCCAAAAAGATAAAGTTAGTTATGCGGTTTTATTTATTTTAAAATGAGACTACATCACTACACGTCCACAGAGACGGCACCATACCTTTCCTGCCTCTGTAAAGGGTTTTATAGTGACCTTCCAGCCTCTTGGCCATGTAGTTGGCATTAAGGATGGCCACTTCTGTAGCGTGCCGCAGTCCCCTGGATCCCATCATCTAAACACCAAAACAGAATTAAAGCATCTGGGCTTCAAAAAGCTGTAATAAAAGAACATTTTATTACAGCTTTAATATAACATTTTTCTTTATTAGCAGTATTAGCACTCTGTCCAACAACTGCCCCTATTTTTTGCTTTTCTTTTTATATAATGTGTATATATCCTCCACCTCCTGGTAAACAGGGTGGGGTTTGGGTGGTGGGCTGCCTCAAAATGTATCAGCTATGTAGAGTAGCTGTTAAAGTTAATGACTTTCTTTCCCAGGATGTTTATCACAAATTAACACTTTTGTTCATGTTGTCTTAAGTTGAAGTCAGAGCCAGGTGACCAACTACTCATGTGACAAAAACAGAGCCCAGGAAGTTTTCAATGACTTGTGACTGTAGACTTTAAAAATCACACACGGTTAAGTAACAGTTTCAAACATGCCAACAGATTAGTGGAAACGAGCTTACCAATATGTTTCAATGTGGTCTCAACTCTATTTATCTGTGCTGACCTTAATGTAAGCCCAGGAGATTGGCAGGATGGCACTGGAGCCCCAGGGAGCTGCGCTGATGGTGCCCAGTGAGCTGCTGATGTTCACTGACTGCATGGAAACCACCGGGTGGCTCGGTAAGAAGGGGGCAAGGTGCGCCTTCCTGATAAGAAATAGATGAATATACTGTCGGGTCAGAGAATCATCACAAAATAAGAAGAAAAAAAGTTTTTTTTCTTTTTTTAAAATAAACAAATTCACATCAAACTATTCACCATTTCTCCCTTTATATCCACTGACTTACACTCCAATTGGACCCATGCCGGGCCCTCCTCCACCGTGAGGGATGCAGAAGGTTTTGTGCAGGTTTAGGTGAGAAACATCCGACCCATAATCTCCAGGACGACACAAGCCCACCTTCAAGGCAGAGCAAGAACAAATTTTTTTTATTTAAATTAAATATTCTACAGAAAAACTTGCAAAAACAAGAAAAAAAAAACTGATATAAGCTCAGTCTTTACCCTTTTACAAAAAACAAATACAGTGGGATGCTAAAGTTTGGGCAACCTTCTTAATAGTCATTATTTTCCTGTATAATCGTTGGTTGTTACAATAAAAAAAAAAAAAAGTCAGTTAAATATATCATATAGGAGACACACAGTGATATTTGAGAAGTGAAATGAAGTTTATTGGATTTACAGAAAGTGTGCAATAATTGTTTAAACTGTTTAAACAAAATTTGGGCACTTGTCATTTTATTGATTCCAAAACCTTTAGAACTAATTATTGGAACTCAAATGGGGGGTCAATTTAAGTATTTAAGGGGGTCAATTGTAAGTTTTCCTCCTCTTTTAATTTTCTCTGAAGAGTAGC